GCATTAGATATTCTCCTCCAAAGTCAAATTGATGTTTATTAAGAAAAGAAAAGAAAATAAATAACTTTATATAATACCCCCACGTTGTTGCAACCTTTTAATCTTTTTTATAGATTTATTGAGATACAACTCACCAGGCCTAAAATTCACCGTTTAAAGTGTGCAGTTCAATGGTACATTCAGAGTTGAGATGCATTGGGCTTTAGAAAGCATAGACTTCTGACAGGTAATTATAAAATGTGCCTGCTGGTGTCACTGCCCAGCTCTGCAGCCTAGTTTTTACAGATGCCTTTCTCTCCAGTGTTCTGTGCTTTGCCGTGGCCAGGTTAGGGAGAAGATAAATGTAATGCATCTGTCCCAGGGGAGATTGTATAGAGTATAAATGCATCTTTGAGTTTCAAAGGCTGAGCTCCAGATGAAAGATGCGGAAGTTTGGAAAAACAGTGTCCTGTAAAGGCAGTTTCTCTCTCTCTTTTCCCTCCCATCCCCTTAAACACACTTCTGAGACTAGGCAACATTGCCCCATCTGTTGGGGAGAAAGGGAGCTAGAGGGAACCAGCACTGGTGGAGCCCTGAGAAGGGTCCTGAAACTTGCTCCTCCTGCAAACCCTAGCTCCCATTTGGAGGGATTGGAGAGTCAGGACTTGGACCTTCCTTCTTGGTGACATGACCTGTGGAGTTCCTGCCCCCAGTCTGGCCCCACAATAGAACAGATCTGGATATGGGCTCTGCCTGGGTTGAGAGGACCTGAGACCACACTGCAGAGTTTCCTGGGATCCCAAGGTAGCCAGATTTTCCAATGTGCTTAGGAGGATTGTGAGAAAAGCTGAAAGTGAACAAATGGAGGGAAGGTTTGAGATCAGGAAGAAGTTAATTCTAACACCACTGGTGTGGATCTAAAGTTTAAGGCAACACAGGGTGATGGACATGCTAGCTCATACCTGCAGAGACTGATGTCACAGAGACAACTGGGACACTACTGGGGATGGAGAGACTGGGGGAGCCCTGATTTGACTGAGGATAACCTGAATGTCCAGTTTAAGTCCCCGAAAGGGTGCTTAAAATAAAAATTATGTTAAGTCATAGAAAAGTAAAAAAAAAAAGTAATACTTAAAAAAAAGATTTTATTTATTTGAGAGAGAGAGATGGAAAGATCATGAGAGGGAGAGGAGCAAACAGATTCCCTGCTGAGCATGGAGCCTGAGGTTGGGCTCAATTCTAGGACACTGAGGTCATGACCTGAACCAAAGTCATGGTTAATCAGCTGAGCCACCCAGGCATCCCCCAAAATGTAATACTTTTGGCATACCTGGAATGGTGGTTTGAGAGTTGCATCAAGGTTTGGTTGCATTAGGTTAATCATGTCACCTAATTTCTCGAGAGACACAACTTCGCTATTTGTCAGCAGGGTCTGGGAAAGAAGGGTTGGACTAGGTGTATCACGTGACATGACCAGCTCAACCTGACCAGGACGTGAAAGTGTCAGCATTTCTCAGGTGTTTAACTGCCCACTTGTGAGCATTTTTCTTATAGGTCACCCTCTTTGCAGTCCTCTCCCCAGTGTCCAGTGAGACTACAGAGAATCACCAGGATAGCCCAGGGTGACAGGAGAGAAGGGGGACATTCTCAGTCCCTGCAGAGATCATATGAATATGTAAGAGGAAAAAATATATACACTCATGCTGTCATGATAGGTGGAAACATTTTGTCCTTCTGCTTCCCTTTCCAAGCCATGCCTACAGAAATACCCCTTTGGTACCAGAGCCAGAGTCTGCATTATGTCCAAGGGCTTTTGGAAGGCAAGAAGGATGAAGAAGGAAAAACTGCCCTAGCCACCAGCTTTCCAGACCCTATAACTCTAAAAATCTCTCTCCAGCTCTGACCGTTCTCCTGAGCTCCAGACCTGAATGTTCATCAGCCTACTCAACATTGGCACTTGGATGATGAACAAACATTATATGTATCATGTTCAAAACTGAACCCTTAGTTCCCGCCACCAAACCTATTCTTCCGCCTGTCCTCCCCATCTCATCCATTGCTTAGCCTAGCCAGGAAGCCGTTCCCAATGACTTCCTCTTCATTACATTCCACCTTCAGTCTTCAAACAGGTACCCTTCACATTAGTCAATTTCCCTTCCTTCCATTGACACTACCATAACTCAGCCACCCTCCTTGTCCCCAGTTTACTGCAGTAACTTTCCAACTGAATTTTCTGATTACTTGCTTTCCTCTAATCTACTTACCTCCCAGGAGTCATGGTGATTTCTAAAAATGTATATCTGATTTTGTAATCTATTCTGTGGATTCAAACTCTCTACTATCTTTCCATCCTTCTTTGAGTGAAATCCAAACTCCCCACCATGGCCAACAGCCCTCCATGATTGTCTCCTGCCCATCTCTTCAGCACTGTTCCATATCTACTATTCTCCAGTGCCAGCCTCAATGGCCCCCTTCCTCTTCCTCGAAGGTTCAAAATTCCATCATATCTTAGGTCTTGGCTCATTGGGTTCATGTAACAGGAATATCTTTCCCCAGGCTCTTGCAGCTTTCAGATAGAAGCTCAAATACTCCCTTTTCAGAAAGGCTTTCTCTACTGTTCTTCCTAGATAGCTGTCATTTAATTCCTGATTCCATGGAACTCTGTCATTGCAATCTGCAGTATCTTGCATCTTTTATTTTCTTCAGGACACGTATCACTTTCTTCTTTCTTCCTCCCTCCCTCCCTGTCTCCTTCCCTCTTTTCTTTCTTTAGTATCTGTCCTCCTCAGACTGTAAACTCCACAGGGGTAAGGACCATCCCTACCAGTGTTTACCAATGTTTCCTTTGTGTCTAAACCATGCCTGTTACAGAGTATAAACTCAGTAATATTTGTGGAATAAATGAAGGCATTAACTTCTTTGCAATGAGCCATTATTTGTGTGGAGGGTTTGGGCTTGATCAGAACATGAGCTTTCTCCTAAAGGGAGGAGGCATCTTTATGCCCAAGCTGGGACTCTTCTGACTTCTTCGTTTTCCCTCTGGTGTCAAGGTATGGGACACCTTGGGATAGTCGCTATCATCTTTTTGAGTATGACTTAGGGACTGAGAAACTACCTGAAGTTTTTTTGTTTTGTTTTGTTGTTTTACAACAACATGTTTGGAAAAGACCATTCTGAGGTCTGTGTCGTGTATGGGTTGGAGACTCCAGAGTGAGAATCATGAGGAGGCTATTAGTGTGATGGAGGAACATGCTGATCAGGGTCTGAGCAACCATGAAGATGAACAGGAGGGAGCAGCAAAGTCAGGGGACTTGGACACCTAGGACGTCTAGGACACAAAATATGATGTGGCAAGTCCTTGTTGTTCTTGCTCAACCCGGAGAGAGTGTCTCTCTAAATTTTCTCCCTAGGCATGGCCTAGGGATGAGGCTGGCCTCATCCCTCTCCTAGCCCTGCTTCTGGGGGTAAGCGTTGGGGAGGGAGGCCAGGGCAACCCCAGGCTCCCAGCATGGGAGGCTGGGGACGGGAATGTTGAAGCGGAAGCCGCTCTACTGCAAGTAGAAAATGTTGAAGAGGAAATTCATATCTGAGGGGGTAATGGAGGTTGGGTTCAGTACCCCCATCTTTGTAACTACAAAGGTTCAAGGGCACAGTGAGACAAACACAGTAGGATGCCTGTTTCCCTTGGGCATATTTTTCCTTCTACAGAGAACCCTTCTCCAGGACTTGGCCTACACTACCTCCCCCAAATCTTTACCAGGGCTATTTTGGGGCTCAGGACTAATCCTAGATCTACTCCACAACTAGAAAAGTGCATGTGTTCTTCCCTTCTGCTCCCCATTTGGAGACACAGAGTGGGCTTTCATGTAGAACAAAAGGTCTGAGACATTGGGAAGCAGTAGAATGAGGATGAGTCAAGTTCTCCCCGCCTGTCCATAGGCAGTAGGCCATGTGACTCCCTGGAAAGCACTGAGCAGAACTGGGTTTGAATCCAGGTTTTTTTGGTCTCACCACTTGTTATCTGAGTGACACTGAGCAGGTTCCTTCAGATTCCTCACCTGTAAAGTGGGGAATGGTGTCCACCTTGTGGGATTGGTATGAGGATGAAGTAAGATACTGCTTGTGAAGTGCTAGACCCGTGGTGATACCCATTAACAACGTGTTCCTTCTAATGTGGATTTGTAAATGTCATCATAGGAAGGGAACTTGGGGGTTCCTTAAGGATTGTCCTTCTATTTATTTTTCCTTGGATCTTAAGTATGCAGAATTGTACCTATCACAATTCTTGCTTCATCACACCCTCATCATTGATCCATGCATGACCCTCTTTTATTAATCTACTTATCCATCCATCCATTCATTCATCCATCCATCCATCCACCCTCCCTCTTTCCCTCCTTTCCTTCCAATAATCTCCACATCTATCTACCTATCGACATATCTACTTATCAGTCTTATATTGTTATTCTTTCTATTTTTAACTTATAGTGATAAAAACATTCATGAAACCACCACCCAGCATGGCAGCTAGAACCCTGATATTAACTTCCATCTACCTATACATGCCCACCTTTCTCATCCTTTTCCCTTCACCCACCTCAGGCAACCACCATTTAAAATCTTGAGTTCATCGTTTCAGAAAAGATATGGGTTTATCATATTTATATGTATCCCTAAAAACCATTTATTAGCTGTTTTTAGCTTTATGAACATGATATCATGCTGTATGATGGGGGCTTACTCACTCCTAGTATTTTTTTTGCTAAGATTTATCCATATTATTGTGTATAGCTGTAGTTCACCCATTTTTATTGCTGTATAACATTCCATTCTGGGATTGTACTAAATTTTTTGCTCATAACCCTGTGGCTTTGTATTTGGATTTTCTCTCAGATTTTTCTAATTTGAAACCATGCTACCATGGGTATACTTGAATATATCTCCTGGAGCACATGTGAAGAGTTTCTTTGGGGTATATATAACTCAAAGGCAGAAATAACAGGTTATGGAGTACATGAATGTTCAAGTTCAAAGTTTCCAAACTGTCTTCCGAAGTAGCTGTGCCAAGTTACATACCTATCAGCAACATAAGAAAGAGCCAGTTGCTTCTTTATTTTTCCTATTGGAATAGGGACAAAATGGCACCTCAGTGTGGTTTTGCTTTGGCTTTTCCTGATTACTGATGAGACTGAACATCTCTTCATATGTTCATTGGCCATAAGAGTTTCTTTTAATCCCATTTTAATGATGGCGCTGTCAAGGTTTCCTGAGAGTTTGGGTGCCCACTATGGGCTTTCCTTGGAGTCGGGAGGAGCCTTCAGAATTGCAGATCTGTGTTCCTCCTTGCGTAGGAGCTTGTTATGCTCTGCTGAGTTTCTTGCTCAGGGTCATGGACTTCATGTCCAGAATCCCTAGAGAAGCTTCTTTTCTTTCATACGATGTGAGAGCCTACCTCTCCCGACTAACCCTCAAGGTACAGGTTCTCACTTTCTCTGGGGGCTGCAGGAAACAGCGAGGGACAGCCAGTGCAGAAGGTCTCAGAAGGCTCACGAGGCAGGAGAAGCTTTGGGAGTCACCACAGACTTCATGGCCAGGGCCTCTCCTGGATCAGTCCTCCTATATAAAACAGGAGGGGACTAAGGGTTCTGTGTCCCTGAGGAGGGCCTTGTGGTGCCTGTGACCTGCAGGGGAAGCAGGAAGCTGGGGCAAAGCCCTTGTTCTCAGACTCCTCCTCACAGACCACCTCAAGAGTGCTGTCTCCATATTAACTTGCTCCCCTTCAGTGGTCCCCCTGCCTAGACCAGGGAGCCTGCATCTTTGTGTATCTTCAGACTGGAGCTGTGAGGGGCAGAGGGGAAGGCTGAAGAGATTGGGGTGTGGATCTTAGGGGCCCTTTGGTTTCCACATGCCTTCAAGGTTGGTGGGAAATGGGAGTGGTGCGTGGCTTCTCCTCACAGTGCCCCCTGTTGGCCTGGAGTCTCCCCGCCCCTGGGGAAACCCAACCCCTCTCTGAGGTCCCCCTTACTGGGAAGGGAATCTCCTCTTGAGGACATAGATGATGCAAAGTGCTGTCAGGGGAAACAACTTCCAGCCAAGCAGGATGACGGTTCCAGAGAAGGAGCTGGATGCTCTGGCATCTGGAAAGATATTAGGATAGACGTGGCTTCCATTTCCCACCACTCAGCCCCTAGGCAGGCCCAGCCTCCCTCCTGACTCAGGTACCAAGACTAAGCTTGGACTGAGAGGGAATCCCCTCACCTCTCTGAGCCTCAGTTTCCTGATCTTTAAAATGGGGATGATAACGTATACCTTAGAACATTTCTGTATTACATGAGAACACCCCAATGACGTACCTAATGGGTACTCAGTAACTGTTGAATCTGCGGGGCTTTGTGTGGGGGGGGGTGGACGGGGGATCATAGCTCATACAAACTTAGTTATTCGCTGGAAGAGCTGGTGGTGTGGGTGCATGGTTTGGATCCAGCTGTGTGACAGAAGCGGTACTTCCTGCTCTTTGGTCCCTAAGGCAGCACACTCCGCAGAGGTAGCTCTAATTGCTGTCCCGTTTTATAGAAGAAGGAACTGAGGTGCAGAAAGGGGAAGTGACTTCCTCAAGGTCACACATGACAAACATGGCAGAGCCAGCATGTGAACCTGGCCTGTCTGTGTCCAGGTCTGAACCTTTACTGGCTTCCCCCCACCGGTTATTACCCCCTCCACCTCCACCCCACTCCCCCGGTCATCCAAACATGCTGGCTCTTCTCTGAACTCACTCAGCGGCACGCTGGCCTGGATCAGTGGCTGGGCCTCTTGCTCCACTTGGCAGGTGAACTGTGCTCTGTCCTCTGAGATGTAAACCAGGATACGACTGTCTTGGTTGAATGTGCCATCGGGGTCCTTGGTAGGGGTGGAAGTCTCATAGGCCTTAACACTTCTGTTCATCTCCAGCCAGGTGATTTGTATGACTTCAGGGTAGAACCTTTGCACATGGCAGATGAGGATGGCCAGCTGGAGGCTTGGGACCCGGTGGACGGATATGGTCACTGTGGGTATAACTGAAACAATAGCCCTTCCTTCATTCCTTCCTTCCCTCCAGCAAAAGATGCTCAAGGAGCCTCCTTACCTTTCTAGGCCCTGCCCTTGGTTCTGGGGTAGAGCAGTGAGCACGACAGACAGAGTCCCTGCCTAACAGAGCTCCTGTTCTGGCAGGAAGGATAGGGCAGAAGAAGAGCAGTCACATGATCCTCATAGGGGTTCTGAGAACCTACATGGGGGCAACTGACCTGGTCTGGAGTTAAGGCAGGTTAGGGAAGAGTTTCTGGAAGAAGTGACCTTTCAGCAGAAGTATGACACATGAATAGGAGTTAACTATGTGTGGCTGATTGTATTTTCTAAAAATGACCACGGCAAGTTCCCAGATGTCTTCCAGAACCTTGCCTCTCCACACCAGAAGGGGAGTGGACTTCTCTGGAGCCTGGTTGGGACTTTGTGACTGCCTGGTGAAGAGAGTACAGCAGAGGTGACACTGTACCTTCTAAAGGTTGGTCATCAAAGTTCACGAGACTTCCCCTTGGGATATTCACTTTTGGAACATAGCCACCAATCTACAAGGATGCTCAGACTAGCCTGTGGGGAAAGATGATCAGGAGAGGCTAATGTCAAGAAGAACTGAAGCCCCAAGCCCATAGCCAGCACTGATGACCAGACATGTTAGTGAGGCAGCTTTGTGATAACCTCAGCCTTGGAGTCCTTCAGGTGAGGTCTCAGACATCATGGGGCAGAGATAGGCCATCCCTGCCAGGCCCTCTCCAAATTCCTGCCCCACAGAATATGTGAGCATAATAATTTGGGAGATTTGGAGTAAGTTTAGAACATTGGAATATGTTTGGGGAAAATTTGTTATGCAGTCCTGGTCACTGGAACTCTAAGCAAAGGGGTTGGTGGAGGGCCAGAGGAAGGAAGGCTCTGGGAGAGGCCAGGTAGGTGTGGGGAAGGGTGTCTCAGGCAGAGGGAAGGGCATGGGTAGAGGTCCTGAGGTGAAGCCTAGCGTATCCTCAGAGAGAAAGATGATCAGAGTGAGTGGGGGGGAGCATGGGCAAGATGAAGCCAAATTCACAGCCAGTAACCATGAAGACTGTCTGTATTTATGGTGCTACACTTATTCCTGGGGGCACATAAGGACATCCTAAGGAATCCATACATTGGTAGTTTAATACAGTCAATTTCCAGATCCCGAGCCCTCATATGATTCTTTCCTGAAACTGATCTGCCTGAGGATGCCTACTCCTTCCTCCTGCTCCTCAGTCCTTCTCCCAACCTTATAGGGGGAAGGTCTTCCTCCCACACATCCCAAATCTAGTTATGGTGCAGTGCCCTTGGTGTAAAGACTCTGGGACACAAAATAAAAGGACAGTTCAAAATTGGATTACATTTTAATGGTTATTTTGATAATTATTTATCAGAATTTTTCAGATATTTAGATTGTTTTGATCAATTGTGTAATTCAATCCAAATGAAATTTTTTTAACACTTAGAGCATAGGGTCATAACCAAAAGTTTTAAAAATTCAATTTATGTGTATTGAATATTATATATAAGTTATATATAATATAAAATTCAATACATATATATTTACTGTAGTTCTCTGTTTTCTCATAGTTCTCTATGAATGTGTGATGATGTGGTCAGTAAGGGCTTTCTTAAGATTTTATTTATTTATTTGACAGAGAGAGAGATCACAAGAAGGCAGAGAGGCAGTCAGAGAGACAGGAAGGGAAGCAGGCTCCCCTCTGAGCAGAGAGCCCAATGCAGGGCTCGATCCCAGGACCCCGAGATCATGACCTGAGCTGAAGGCAGAGGCTTTAACCCACTGAGCCATCCAAGCGCCCCAGGATTTTCAAATGTAAAATAAATTCACAGTAGGATAGATTTCTCCCCAGGAAATTAGAATGGAAATACAAATTTAAGAGGAAAAAGAAATGTTATAAAATTTCTGTTTATTTAAGAAGAGCTCATTTATGTCTGTTGTAATGGATGATGGTGGAAATCAAATCAGTATGACCTTATTTTTCCTTTGAACATTTCAGAGAGATGTAACATTTGTTATGTTCCAGGGGTTCTGGCCTGTGCAACCATTAAAGTCTGTGATGAATAATTCTGGATGTTAACTTTTAAATATATGAGGAACCACATAGTTCTTCACAATTACCTCAGGGCTTTATGAACAAAAATGTTTGAAGATTGCTATTGAATGCCTGATAAGGATTTTATTTTGTTTTGTTTTTTGTAAGAGCAGCGGTAAGCCACTGAAAGGTTTTTAAAGAAAGGAGACGGAGCTCCGTGTTGAGCTCCATTATCGGTGGGGAGTCTGCTTGGGATTTCCCTCTCCCTCTCCCTCTGCTCCTCCTCCCTGCACTCTCTCTCTCTCTCAAATAAATAAATCTTTAAAAAAATTAAGAACTGTATGGGGCACCTGGGTGGCTCAGTGGGTTGAGCCGCTGCCTTCGGCTCAGGTCATGATCTCAGAGTCCTGGGATCGAGTCCCACGTCAGGCTCTCTGCTTAGCAGGGAGCCTGCTTCCTCCTCTCTCTCCGCCTGCCTCTCTGTCTACTTGTGATCTCTCTCTGTCAAATAAATAAATAAATAAAATCTTTAAAAAAATTAGAACTGTATAGTTGGTTTTCTTTAAAAAGATTTTATTTATTTATTTGACAGAGAGAGATCACAAGTAGGCAGAGAGGAAGTTAGAGAGAGAGGGGGAAGCAGGCTCCCCACTGAGCAGAGAGCCCGATTTGGGGCTTGATCCCAGGACCCTGAGATCATGACCTGAGCCAAAGGCAGAGGCTTAACCCACTGAGCCACCTAGGCACCCCTAGCACTGTATATTTTTTGCATCTTGTTGATGGGGTTCATGTGACTGTGAGCTCAGTGGAGCACAACTAGGTCTGTTATGTTTACCACGGAATCCCCAGCACCTAGAATAATGCTGCCACATATGACTTGCTCAATAAACACTTGTTGAATGAATGAATGAACTTCTACCTCCCAAATACAAGAGAGCGAAGGGAACTCTGAATGCCAAGGACCCGACTATGGCATCTTGTAAGAAGAGGATGGTCGGATAAGATAGGGAACTTTGCACCCATCTCACAGGGGATTTAAGGAAGAATAAATGGGAGGAGGCAGGTGAAGTCCTCCAATTAGGGAACCAGTGGTGGCCACCAAGTGTTGGCCACTTGGCTGGGGAGGCCCCTTACCTTGGAAGAATCTGGAGATGTTCACGTGCCTACTGAGGGGGCTGTGCAATGTACTGTGAGTCACTTGGCAGGTGACCTGGGAGTGGAGTAAGGATAAGTCAAGGGTCACCAGCACTGTGCTGAAGATGGTGTAGGATCTGGCATCTCCAGGCGGGAAGACGAGGGTCTGAAAGGCTGGAAGCTCCACATCCTTTTCAAACCATTTCAGCTGTATGTTTCTGGGAAAGAAGCCAGTTGATGTGCAGGTGAGATTCATTATCTGGCCTGGGCTGGCCCTGCTGGAGGGGCCATAAATTTCTGGAAGAGAGGGCTTAGCTTTGGCCAAAGTGAAGTTGAGAGAGAAGAGAGAAAAATGAAGATGGCAAATTAGTTTCCAGTGTGATATCTGCCCTTATCGTTCCCCCATGGCTAGACTTATCCCATCTCTCATCTCCAGTTTTCTCCTCCGTGTAATTTTTATTATGACCCTTCGTACCATAACAGCTTGCCAACTGGCCTCATGGATTGCTTCTCAACACTTGCCATCGGCACTCGACACCAGACCATGGTGATCATGTTAAAATACAGATTGGAATTTGTCATTCCCCTTCCCTCTCTTTCCTCCTTCCTGAAATACATTGTTTAAAAAGTCATATAACTTATGGAACTAAAGACATCACGTCCCTTGCTTCCTCTCCTAGGAAAAAAATATGGACCAACCACTTAATTATTTTAGCTGATCCATTGGACATTTCTCGTCATGTTTCTATCTTCTTTTTTCTTTCCTCTCTCTCTCTCTCTCTTTTTTGGAGAGAGAGTGCATGAGCATGAGCAGGGAGGGACAGAGGGAGAAGGAGAGAATCTTAAGCAGGCTCCAAACTCAGCGTGGAGCCCAACGTGGGGTTCAATCCCACAACTCTGAGATCATGACCTGAGCTGAAATCAAGAATTGGATGCTTAACCAACTGAGTTACCCAGGTGCCCCCCTCTCTGTGTTTCTAAATAAGGTGCCTATATAATTATCTCCTTTTTTTTCAGTTTTATATATTTTGAATAGACCTACTACTATGGAAGATGATGGCTTAACTCTTATCTTCCTTCACATGCCATTGACACTTCCTTTCCTTACATCCTCTTATCATAGACACAGCAGAGTCTTTTATTTTTTTAGTAGTCAGCATTTATATTATAATGACCAACGAAACATTTTTCACAACTGGGCCATGCAATATATCATGCTTATATTTCCTTTCTTGTACACTTTTTGTTTTCCCAGTTTTTAATTGTCTCTCTCTCTCTCTCTTTTAAAGTTTTTATTTATTTAAATAATTTCCACACCCAATGTGGGGCTTGAACTCATGGCCCTGAAATCAAGAGTCACATGCTCTTTTGACTGAGCCAGCTGGGTGCCCCAATTGCCTTATTCTTTTTATTTGCTTAGTTTTTATGAACCTAGGACAAATTCACTCCTAAACTTTCTGCCAATGGGTATAACTCCTCCCAGACTGCTGGATACTGCTAAGTACTGTAGTGACTCCAATTTAGGGTACCTGAACCCCCTGGGAATGCAGAAAGACTTTTCTGGAAGTATACAGGCTTGGGTTAAGACAAACCCTTTATAACACACCTTAAAAATATGGAATACACAGGTGCCTGGGTGGCTCAGTCAGTTAAGCTTCCAGCTCTTGATTATGGCTCAGTTCGTGATCTCAGGGTGATGAGATCAAGTCCCAGGTCCGGGCTCCATGCTGGGCGTGGATCCTGCTTAACACTCTCTCATCCTTCCCCTCAGCTTCCCCTGCTGCTCACACCTCTTTGCTCTCTCTCTCAAAAGAAAAATACAAAGTACTCATCCTGGGACTTTGGCAATTATCAGCAAATGTTTCATTTATATGTCTACCATCCACTGTGTTATTTTAAAGCAAAACTAGACACTGTCATTTCATTCACAACCACCTCAGCATGTATATGTTAAGAATTAAGAAGTAACTGTAATCCTCTGTGCTTTTATTCCTCTTTCAAAATAAGATAACCAAATGTGGACATGCTTGTATTTCCCGCTCTTCTTAACATAAAAGATTGTCTGCTCCACCCACTCTTCCTCACACTACTTTTCTTGTTTAATGATATCCTGTGGGTCATGCTGAAGCCAAGTGCTGACTTCTTCTCGTGCATTTTTAAAGTTACAGTACTCCATTGTGTGATTCTACCATAATTTATTTAACCATCTGTCTTTTATTCTTACACATAGTGTTGTAATCAAGAGCCTAACCATAAATCATTTTACACTTGTGTTAGTATGTCTTTAGGATAAGTTTCTAGAAGTGAGATTGTTAGGTCACAGGGTAATGTATATATATATGTCTATGTAATAGGTAATTTGGCTAAATATTGCCAAATCCACTTCCTTACAACTTCCATGATTTTGAATTTCTACATACAAAATATGGAAGTATCAATTCCCCCACAGCTCCTCTAACAGAGAGTGTTGTCAAACTTTGGGATTTTTGGCCAAGCAGATAGGTGAGAGGTTGTATCCCAGTGTAGTTTTAAATTGCATATCCTTTCATGTGAGTGTGATTGAAGACACTCATATATATAGAAGATGTTTCTATTTCACTTTCTGTAAATTGCCTTCTCATATTTACTGCCCATAATTCTATAAAATTGCTTGTTGTAAAATTTTAGAAGCTCTCGGGGCGCCTGGGTGGCTCAGTGGGTTAAGCCTCTGCCTTCAGCTCAGGTCATGATCTCAGGGTCCTGGGATCGAGCCCTGCATCGGGCTCTCTGCTGGGCAGGGAGCCTGCCTCCCCTTTTCTCTCTGCCAGCCTCTCTGCCTGCTTGTGATCTCTGTCTGTCAAATAAATAAATAAAATCTTTAAAAAAAATTTTAGAAGCTCTCTTTGTATGTTAGGGGTGGATCTTTGTATTATAAGTCACAAAATAGTGTACGCACACACACTTCCATACACAAGTTTCTTTTTGTACAATATGATCAAATTGTCATTTTTTTTTCTTTTTGTTTCTGCATTTTGAATTATAGTTGGGAAGGTTTACCCCACTTCCAGGTTACAAAAGAATCCAGACATGATTGCTTCTCATACTTGCACAGTTTCATTATTTAAATATCTGATCCATGTGAGATTACTTTTGGCTTGTGGTGGGAGGAGTGGTTCTGGATTTTTTATTCTTTTCCATTGGTTTGCTTACTAATGTTCCATTCGATCCTCCACTATTGTTGAAGACTTCTTTCTCCATGAGCTTGCCTTTAGTTTTTTTTTTTTTTTTAAGAAATCAATTGACTGCATGTATGGCATTGTTTCTGGAATCCATTCTTTTTCATTGATCTATTTGTCTATCTTTTGTTTAAGTTCATTTATTTTTAGTAATCTCTATACCCAATGTGGGGCTCAAACTCATGACCCCAAGATCAAGAGTTGCATGCTCCTCTGACTGAGCCAGCTAGGCTCCCCATCTACTAGTTTATCTTGATGCCAATACTACACTGTATGATTTTTGTAGCTTTATAATAATTCTATGTTTATGAGGGATATTAGACTCAAGTTTTCTTTATCTGGTTTTAGTATCACAGTAGTGCTGGTTTTAAGGATTGATTGGGAAGCATCACTCCAATTTGCTGGAATAATTTGTGTAGAATTGTTAGCATTTCTTTCTGCAGTGCTTGGTAGAGTTCTCAGTGAAGTCATCTGAGCCTGGACAATTGTTTGTGGGAGGCTTTTTAAACTACCAAATTCAATTTCTTTAATAAATATAGAAATAATCAGGCTATTGATTCTCGTAGTGTTTGACATTTGGAGTGAGCTTTGGTAGCCCATGCCTTCCAAGGAATTTGTGCATTTCCTCTAAGTTTTTGAGTTTATAGGTATAAAATTTTTCACAAAGTTTCCTTATAATCTTTTTAATATCTGTGGAAAATGTGGGGATGTTACCTTTCTCATCCTTTTTTTTTAAAGTTTGTTTATTTATTTATTTATTTATTTATAATCTCTACACATCTAAGGTGGGGCTCAAACTCATGACCCTGAACTCAGTAGTCACATGCTTTTCCAACTTAGCCAGCCTAGTGCCCCATCTCTCAGTTTTGATATTGGTAATTTGTGCACTCTTTCTTTTTTCTTGACTGACTGCGATCCCACAATTCTATATATTATTCTGTGCTCACCATGATAACTGTAGTTACCATCTGTCAGCTTGGTAGCTATAAGCTGTGAATTTTACTTTGTTTGGTGTTGGATATTTTGTAATCCTCTAAATATGCTTGAACTTGTTTTGGGACCTGGTTAAATTACCTGGAAACGGTTTAATGGTTCTGCCTCAGTAAGAGGTAAAAAAGAAAAAAAGAGCTCCTGGGTGGCTCAGTCAGTTAAGCGGCTGTCTTCAGCTCAGGTCGTGATCCCAGGGTCCTGGGATGGAGCCCCGCATCAGGCTCCCTGCTCAGCAGGAAGCCTGCTTCTCCCTTTCCCTCTGCTTGCTGCTCTGTCTACTAGCTCTCTCCCTAGCTCTTTCAAATAAATAAAATCTCTTTTTTTAATTATTAAAAAAGAAAAAATGTTAGCCCTTGACCAAATGATGCTCTGGTCCTGCATCGCAAAGCTTAAATACAACACATGAAAACATCAAACTGTTTCCAGTTCACTATATCATCATAGTGATGATATACGCTAACACAATAATTATGTTACAGGTGCTCTTCTAAGTGTTTCACATTTATAAACTCATTTACGTTTGTACTCCTCATAACAAGTCTACGAGGTGAGTACTATTATTATCCCTACCTCACAGATGAGAAAATGGAGGCACTGAGAATTTAAGAAAGTCACTGAAGCCACACAGCTTGAAAATGGCAGAATTAGAAGTTGAATCGAGGCCATTTGGTCCTGGTGTCTGTAATTTTACTCACTCTGCTTTCCGATCTATTTTGTGGCCTTTGAAAATGTAAGATTCTAAAGGGTAGGACTCTATTGCTAGGAGCCCTGGGATCATGTTTCACGCTGCTCCCGTGCTATGATTTCTCACTATCCCCATCTTCTATCCTCAACTTTAACACAAGCGCTGACAAAGAGGGAGCCTTGGGCTGAGAGCCTGAAGCTTGTGATCTGTCTTTAGAACAATCAGGCTGGGTCTTTCAGGGATCTGGACTTACCATGTACAAACATCCTGGTGCCTGGTCCAGACTTAAACTCCACATCAGGGGTCCCTTTCTGGAACTTCACACAGTAGTAGGTTCCGGTGTCTGCTGTGGTGATGTTACTGATGTGGATGGAAAAGTCCGTGTTGTTTCTCCTTGTGGGGTCTGAAGCATTTGTTACTCGGGGGAAGTGGCCTCCTTTGTAACTGAAGATTAACTCCCTGCCTGGCCCTGTCCCCCTGAACCACTGAACCGTCCCTGTGGGGAGCAGGGAGGTCAGGGTGCAGTGCAGAGTGGCTGGCTGTCCGGCTGCGACAGACACTGACTTGTCAGGCTGGATCACCTGCAGCCCCGCCGCACTGGCCACTCCTGGAGGGAAATACAAGTGAGCTCCACGTGTCCCCTGCCTGGCCCAGGGGGCTTCTCTTATGGCTTTGTCGTGAGACTGAATCTAAAAACCATGGAAAAACACTCAGGGGACTGTGCCTGAAGGACCCGGAGTGTGTGGACCTGGAGTCAGGCTGATGTGGGCTCAAAGCCCGACTCTAGCTCAGACAAGCCTGCTGCTGTTTGGGCCAAGCCCCTCCCTCCCTCCCTCTGCTTTTGGTGGTTTCCTGTCAAGCAGGATGGATCAAGCCTTTCTCCTTCAGTGTTGCGAATTTTCAAGGAAGACATGGGTTGTCAAGGACATGAGTGAGTGTTGTAATTGCCAGAATCAGCAGGACCATTCTGAGGTGTTTGCATTTGCATTTGCATTCACTAAACACTGCAAGGATTCAACAGCGAGTTTCCATAGATGCTTCTGGGTACCAGACTTCACTCTAAGCTCTTCGATACATTAACTGACTAATTCAATTCCCACCATTACTCTGTGAGAATGGCATTATTATTATTATTCATCCCTGTTTCCAGACAAGAAAGTGAGACGCAGAGAAATTCACAACTTGTTCCAAGCCAAATAAAGTATAAGTGATGAACTTGGATTTGAACTCCGGATTTTCAAAAAATATCTGTGCTTTTAACCACTTTCCTGGACAGCCTCTGTCCAGGATGTCAACTGAGATGTCAACTCGCTGGGAAGGAGAGGGGGCACTTCATCTGTCTGTGGATCCAGGATCAGCTCTGGGGAGAAGGGAGCAGACAGGCAGGGCTAATTCCCAATCAAGAATAAATAAATTAAAAAAAAAACCAGATAAGTCAAAAAATGGGCGGAAGACATGAGCAGATACTTCTCCAAAGAAGACATACAAATGGCTAACAGACACATGAAAAAGTGCTCATCATCATCAGCCATCAGGGAAATTCAACTCAAAATCACACTGAGATACCACCTTACACCAGTTAGAATGGCAAAAATTAACAAGGCGAGAAATAACAAGTGTTGGAGAGGATGTGGAGAAAGGGGAATCCTCGTACACTGCTGGTGGGAATGCAAGTTGGTGCAGCCACTTTGGAAAACAGTGTGGAGATTCCTTAAGAAATTAAAAATAGAGCTACCCTCTGACTCTGCAATTGTACTACTGGGTATTTACCCCAAAGATACAGATGTAGTGAAAAGAAGGGCCATCTGTACCCCAATGTTCATAGCAGCATTGGCCACAATCGCCAAATTGTGGAAAGAGCCGAAATGCCCTTCAACAGATGAATGGATAAAGAAGATGTGGTCCATATATACAATGGAATATTACTCAACCATCAGAAAGGATGAACACCCAACTTTTGCATCAATACGGATGGGACGGGAGGAGATTATGCTGAGTGAAATAAGTCAAACAGAGAAAGACAGTTGTCATATGGTTTCACTTATTTGTGGAACATAAGGAATAACATGGAGGACATTAAGAGAGGGAAGGGAAAAATGAAAGAGGAGAAATCAGAGCGGGAGATGAACCATGAGAGACTGTGGACTCCGGGAATCAAATGGAGAGTTTTAGAGGGGAGGAGGATGGGGGGGACGGATGAGCCCGGTGATGGGTATTAAGGAGGGCACGGATAGCATGGAGCACTGCGTGTTAGAAGCAAACAATGAATCATGGAACACTCCATCAAAACTAATGATGTACTGTATGGTGACTAACGTAACACAATAAAAAAAAAAGAATGTAATTTTAGAATGCGGAGATTTTGGGGGATTTAATAGTCTAAAAAGCACCACTTATCAGTTTTCTAATCTCTGCATGGCAGATGGAGTACTTGCGATCTATCTATCTACCTACCTATCGAGATCTCCATCTGAATTAGGGCGGCTCTGACTCCCAGACTCTAGGGTTTTCAGCAGGAGTCCGACACTGCACCCCTACCTCCTCCCAGAGGATGGGCCCAGGTCCTGCAGGTCAAACCACAGGGGATCATGGAGGCTTCACAGGGCGACAGGAGGGTGGGAAGTGAGGCGGGACTGGGAACTCCCTGCACTGAGAAAAGCCTGGCTGGGTGAATCCTGTCGACCTGAGTGGGAGAGGAAAGGATCCCTCCGAGGAATAAGCTCTGGGAGCATTCGTTTGGGAGGGCCTTGTAAAAGAAAACATTTAGAGAACTGTCTTCAAGAGGAAGCCACAGTAAGAAAGAGGACTTGGAACCGACATCCCTCCTCTCTACTGCCAGTGGGGAAGCCCTACCCCTGGGCCACACTCAGCCCACACTTGCACGGGGCTCCCCGAGGGAGGGCGGCACTCACCTGTGAGGCCCAGCAGCAGAGGCAGCAGCAGGGATGGCCCGGGCAGCTGGGGTGGGGAGGCAGGTGCGGGCATCCTGGTGGCCCTGAGCCCCGCTCTGGGTGAATGCTGCCCGGCAGAGGCCTCAGGACTCCGCTCTGCGATGAGAGGGGAAGTCTCATGTCCCTCACATAAGAGGAAGTGACTGTGATGGGTGGAACGAGCTATGGGGTTTTCACAGTTTCTGCTTCTAGATTGTGAAATAGGAATCAGAACCAGCTGGGAAATTACCAACAGAAGGCTCCCAAGATGATTGGAGAGTTGTGGTAGGCCCCCTTAGGGCTGGGGCTATGTCCCCAGGCCCCTTGGCTCCAGGTCCAAGGCCCTGCTGTCCCTTTCTCACCTCAGAGCACAAAGGTACACGGCCCGTCAGAGTGGAGGGTGTGTTCCATCTTTGGGAACCGTGCAACACCCTGGGCTCGGTGAACTGCCAGCGGTCCAGGAGGAAGGCTCCTGGGAATACAGCCTCCAGGGAGGGGGAGCCCTGTTTTCCCCATTTCAGAGGGATCAGTGGTAAACATGAGCCCCTGGGCGCTCATGGGCGCCCCTGGGTTTGAGGGTACACTTGCAGGGGAAGGGGCTTCTGGTGAATGAAGAGTTCGGTCTTTGGAGGGGGAGGCTGGCTTCTGTTTTAGAGGGTGGAGGAGGCCTGCGTGGGGAAGGGATGTCAGCATGTTCATCGTGCAGGGACGACAACACAGCCCATGCCCAGGAGGAGGAGGAGGAGGGGTGCCTCTTCTGTTTCCCCAGCTCTGGGGCCAGCTCAGAGGGGGTGCATGAAGAGGAGAAACCTGATATCAAAAGTGCACCCCCTCTTTTGTCCTGAGCACCAACAGCCAGCACACAAGACTGCGTCCCGAGCCCAAGAAGCTGGAAGCTCCTCACTTCTGTGGGGCCCACACCGGACCCTGCCTTCTGTGACTTAGTTTCCCGACAGTTCCCAGCCCTCACCTCCATCCCAGCCTCTGACTTGGATGTTGGTGACGCTAAATGGCAGAACCCAAAAGGGAGTCAGAGATGGGATTTGATTGTTCTGTCATAGAACACGTTTCCTCTTTCCCTGAGATGCTGTTATTCTAGCTTTTTATTTTTTCCTCCCTGAAAGAGCTCGACTGTGGGACCCTTGAGAAGGCACTGGCCTGAGTGTTCCTTTTGGCTCCATTATTCCAACCCAGTGGTGACAGATTGTATTTTCCAGAGCTGACTGCAGCTATAGCCTTTCTCATGCTCTTTGACACGCCTCCCATTGAGAAGTGGGTAAATATTCGTTCCCCCTCGGCAGGCTTGTGATAACACAGGTAGTGAGATAACTTCCAAAGCTTGACCATAAAATTCCCTGTACTTTTCCCCTGCTCTCCTGGGCAGCTCCTTTTTGGAATCTTGCTGCAGGGCTAGGAGGAAGCCCAAACTAGCTCACACACAAAGACCACACTGTAGGGACGTACGTAGGAGTCCTAGCTAAAAGCCCAGCACAGAGTCCAGCCAGTAGCCAGCACTAATCATTAGACATGTAAATGAAGAAGCTTCTGGATGGTTCCAGACCCTAGAAGTTGTTACCCCTAGCCAAGGCCCCATACATCATACAGAGGAGACAAGCCATTCTTATGCCCTGTCTGAATTTCTGATCGCAGGATCACTGATCACAATGAAATCATTGTTGTGGCACCTGGGGGCTCAGTCAGTTAAGCGTCTGCCCTTGGCTCAGGTCCTGATCTCAGGGTCCTGGGATCCAGCCCCTGTGTCAGGTTCCCTGCTCAGTGGAGAGCCGGCCTCTCACTTTCTCTCTCCTTCTGCCTCTCTCCCTGCTCGTGCTCTTTCTCTCTCTCTCAAATAAATAAATAAAATATTAAAAAAAATAATGAAATGGTTGTTTACCACCCCTAAGTTTTGGGGTGTTTTTTTAACAGCAAAAGTGACTCCAACACTGCCCTTGGCAGCCTCGTTCCCCATCCCTCCTCATTAGTGTCTACCTTCTTTACTGGGCTTGGTGCCCTTGCTGGCAGGGACCATTGAACCTGGCCTTAGGAGACAGGCTTAGGGGCCCAAAGGCCCTTGGTTGGAATCCTGGGCCCACCTGGTCTCTGCACGACTATGGCCAAGTCACCTCCACGCCCATATCGCACTGCTTGCTCAGCACCTGCAAACCGTTCTCATCACGCACTCCCCATCGGGCTCTCTGTCTGTGTCCCCATTTCAGTGTTTGACACCCCCTGTGAGCCACTTAGTCCAGCTGGAGACGTTGATGTCATTTTTGGCGACACCCTCTCCCCCTCCCCCCACATGCTTTCATCTAAACCCATCCTAAATCCTCCTGTGTGTCTCTCTCCACGGTCACATCTGCCTGTCAGTTCGCCTCCTTCTCTGTTCCCCTGTTGCATGCGGTCTTCTCCTCATACTGGAGCCAGAATGCTGCTTTTAAATGAGACATCTGAGCTTGTCACTCTCTTTAAATGGCTTCTCAGGGCTCTTAGGGTCGTCTGGGATTCTCCTCATGTGCCTGACTGATCTAACTGCTCTGTCAGACTCACTTCCTTGCTCTTCCCTCATGTTTGGGCTCCGCTGCACTGGCCTTTCACAGGGACTCAGGTGCCTTGCTCCTCCCTCTGTTCCGTGTTCTGGGGATGCCCACCTACTTCTCCTCTTCATTATGGACAAACTCAGAGCATGACCTCTCAGAATTTGTAATCATGTAGTTCTTTTCACTGTTTGTCTTGCCCACTAGAGTGTATGCGTCAGAGAGAGCAGGGGTTGGGTCTGCTCAGTGTCCCGTTGAGGATACTCAACAGGTGTTTTTAAACTCAGGAGGGAATGGCGGATTCATGGTAAGCATGTGTGCGGTGACCCCGAATGGTGGCCTCTGGTCTGGTTCTTTCCAGAAGCGGTAGAGCCACAGGACCCTAGCCTTCTTGGGCATCTTACAGCTGCTTTCTCCTCCCTTTGTTCCTTCTTGGTCTCCTCCATCCCTGGAAACCCTTGGAGCCTGACACGGAGTAAATCACAGTGGTGGCTTCACAGCTATTTCATTCTGGACCCCACTTGGTCAAGGCTGGGCTCTCCTCTTCATGTTGGAAGCTCCCCTGGGTGGATGTTATCAGGGAACAAAAAGGCAGACTTCTTGGGCCTCTATTTTGGTGCCTAGCTCTCCTGGTAGGTATCACAGAAAGGAAAGGGGGGTAAGCCTTATGCCTGCGGGGTGGGGTAAATCTTGGGATGTTAACACCAAAGACCCCCACCCAAAATTTCCATGCAACGTGTATACAGACCGTTCCCCCAAGCTCCCATTAGGATTAGGCCATGAGACTCAGGCCCCATAAATAAGGGTATTAAGAACCAAGAGTTGGTTGAGTTCCTGGATGGGTCTTTTAAACTCAAAGCCAAGACAGTAGAATGTAGAGCTAAGGCTTTTGAGTGTGAGAAACAAGTGACTTATGGAGAACAGTTTTTGGTTTCCAGCAATTTTACATTTAAAAATGTAACCAAAGTTCTTTGAAAAAAATTTTTTTAATTAAGTAAACTCTGCCCCCAATGTGGCACTCAAACTCACGACCCCGAGACCAAGAGTCACATCTTCTCTTGACTGAGCCAGACAGGCACCGCCCCCAAATAACCAAAACTCTTAAGGAAGCACCCGGTCATTCACGCAACAAGTCTTTATTGAGCATCTAGTTGGGTCTAGCCACTCTTCTAGGCACTGGGGATAGAACAGTGAGAAAGAACAAAGGCGACACCCTTGTCCCCAAGAAACTCACATGCATGTGAGTGGGTCACATAGTAATCACCAACTGCATGCTTAGACTGTTGGATGGTAAGAATGCTACCTGAGGTATATGACTGTGTATTGAGGAATGGGATGCTCGGCTTACAAGAAGATGGTTTATATAGGGCAGTTAGAGTCTTTTTTTTATTTTTAAATTATCATCATTTTCAAGACTTCCTTTTTAAGCAATCTCTACATCCAATGAGGGGCTTGAACTCACAATCCTGAGATCAAGTGTTGCTGCTCCACTGACTGAGCCAGCCAGGCAAGTTTAGGACAGTCAGAATCTTTTTAGAAAATAACATGATGTTTGGGAGAGATTTGAAAGAAGTGAAGGAGTGGCTACAAGATACCTGGAGAAGAGTGTTCCATGAAGACAGGAGAACAAAGGCAAAGTTCTTGAGGAGGACTGTGAAGGTCAAGGGTCTGCTGTGGCAAGAGCCCAGTGTGCAAATGGGAACATGACAGGAGTTGGGTGGGGCAGCTTGGACAGGGGCTGGTAGGCCATCATGGACTCCCCTTGGCTTTCTTTCAGATCAGCAGGCACTGACGGGTTGGAGGAATGATGGGATCCCTTGCTGCTCTGAGGGGAAGAGGCTGAGGTATGCAAGGGTAGGAGCAGGGAGACCAGAGTTAGCAATAATTATAATAAAAAATATGATAATAATTATAGCAATAATCCAGGTGGGTAGACACTGACATGGACCAAGGCGGTACTTTGGAGGTGGTGGGGGTGACTGGATTCTGGGTCTGTTTTGAACATAGAGATCGTAAGATATGGAGTGTGACTTGGACATGAGGTATGAGGGAAAAGAAGATCAAGAATCATTCCAGGATTTTTGACATATGTGGTGGACAGCTTGCAAAATGGCTCCCAGTGATCCCCGCCTTCTGGAATTCATAACTAAGTGCAGTCTCTTTCCCTTGGGTGCAGGCTGCACCTAGCGACTCAGTTCTCAATGAATAGAATACGGAAAAAGTGATGTGATATCACTTCCAAAATTAGGTCTCAAACAGTCTGTGACTCCTGTCTTGCTTATCCTCTCTCTCTCACTACCCTAAGGAAAATCAGCTGTCCTGTTGTAAGCTGCCTGAGGGGGAGATCCATGAGGATCTTCATGAGGATCTTCAGTCTTCAGTCAGGGTCTTTAGTCAGTGGCCAGCAAGAGTGTGAGCCTTGTTCAACAGGAAGTGAGCTTGGAAGCACTTACCCCGCCCCCTGTGTCCCCGCCCCCCGCCCTGCCCCAGGCAAGCCCTGAGTTGACAGTAGCTCCTGACTTCATCTGAGCCAGGGGACCCAGTTACGCTGCACTCAGATTCCTGACCCAGATAAACTGTGAGACAATGTTTGTTGTTTTAAGCCCTGAGTTGCGGAGTAATTTTTTTTTTTTTAATGCAGCAATGGAAGACTAAAACAGCATGCAAGAGCATTTATACTCTAAAAACAGTATTAGGGCGTGCCTGGGTGTCTCAGTCGTTAAGCGTCTGCCTTCGGCTCAGGTCATGATCCCAGGGTCCTGGGATCGAGCCCCATATCAGGCTCCCTGCTCAGGGGGAAGCCTGCTTCTCCCTCTCCCACTCCCCCTGCTTCTATTCCCTCTCTGTCTGTCTCTCTGTCAAATAAATAAAAAATCTAAAAAAAAAAAATGGGGTTAGAAAGAATGCCGTAAAATGTTTCTGCCCTTTATACAGATTTAACCCCCCTCCCTGCCAAGGTGGAGAAGTTGGAGCTGGGCTGAGAAGGAAATGAGCAGAGCTCAGGAGAACTTAGATAGGAGAGTGGGACTCAGGACTTGATCTCCCTCCCTAGGGAGGTGGGATGAGTGTCCCCCCCAGGTCTCCTACTCAGCTGCTCCAGCCCTTGTCCTGAGACCCCTCCCTGGGGGCTGTGGGGTGGACAGGTGTGTGGAGGGCAGGTGCCCAGGGAGTGGGGGTATGTGTCGTTCCTCAGACCTCCATGGCTTTTCCTGGGGGAGTTCCTCCAGAGGGGAGGGGACAACAGAGACTGAAGTTCCCCCAGTGTCAGGAAGGGAGCAGCTGTGGGAAGCACATCCATGTGTCTGTTCAGTCAGTCAGTGCATGTTTTCCAAGTGTCCACTTGTGCCAGCATCTGTGCTCTGCTTGGGGAGGAGCAGGGGGCCTCGATAGTTGACCCTGTGAGATCAGACACGGCCCTCTTCCCTGGGCCCTCCCTTATCTCCTACACTGTTCCTCAGACATATTTTGCAAACCTCCAGTTTTGTATTTTTCATTTCATGGAGCCATGCTTTCTTGGTTCTTTGTATGCTTTTTGCTTTTTAAAAAAAAATTATTTTAGATTTGGGCATTTGAAAAAAACATGTTTGCATCCTACCCCAGATTCATTTGTTGAACTCCCCAAAGATCGTGGTATTAGGAGGTGGGGATTTTAGGAGGTGTTCAAGTCATGAGAATGGATCCCTTATGAATGAGATTAATGCCTTATAAAAGACCCCAGAGAGCTCTGCAGACCCTTTAAAAAAATAAACATATATTATTTGTTTCAGGGGTACACAATTCACAGCACTCACCATGGCATATATCCTCCCCCATGCCCATCCCCCAGCCACCCCATCCTTCCGACCCCCCGCCCCTCCAGCAACTCTTAGTTTGTTTCCTGAGATGAAGAGTCTCTTATGGTTTGTCTCTCCCTATGGTTTCATCTTGTTTCATTTTTCCCTCCTCTCCTATGACCCTCTGTCTCGAGTCTCAAATTCCTCAGATCAGTGAGATAATAGAATTGTCTTTCTCTGACTTATTTCACTTAAAAGCATAATACTGTCTAGTTCCATCCACATCATGGCAAATTGTAAGATTTTGCGTTTTTTGATGGCTGCATAGTATTCCATTGTATATATATCACATCTTCTTTATCCATTCATCTGTTGATGGACATCTAGCTTCTTTCCATAGTTTGGCTATGATGGACATTGCTGCTATAAACATTGGGGTGCTCGTGCCCCTTTGGATCACTACATTTGTATCTTTAGGATAAATACCCAGTAGTGTAATTGCTGGGTGTTAGGGTAGCTCTATTTTCAACTTTTTGAGGAAACTGCATGCTGTTTTCCAGAGCGGCTGCACCCTTGCCGACGTTTCTTGTTCCATCTTGTTAGTTTTAGCCATTCTGACTGGTGTGTGGTGGTATCTCAAAGTGATTTGGATTTGAATCTCCCTGATGGTTACTGATGTTGAATATTTTTCATGTGTCTGTTGGCCATTTGTATGTCTTCTTTGGAGAAGTGTCTGCTCATGTTTTCTGCCCATTTTTTGACTGGAGTATTTGTTTTTTGGGTGTTGAGAGTTTGAGAAGTTCTTTATAGAACCTGGGTACCAGCCCTTTGTCTGTAGTGTCATTTGAAAATATCTTCTCCCATCCCATGGGTTGCTTTTTAGTTTTGTTGACCGTTTCCTAAAATTCAAGTTAGTTAACGTATGGTCTAGTATTGGTTTTACAAGTAGAATTTAGTGATTCATCAATTACATATCACACCAATGCTCATCCCAAGAAATGCCCTCCTTACTGCCCATTATCCATTTAACCCATCCTCCCACTCACCTCCCCTCCAGCAATCCTCAGTTTGTGCTCTATAGCTAAGAGTCTCTTATGGTTTGCCTCCCTTTCTGTTTTTATCTTATTTTATTTTCCCTTCCCTTCCCGTGTTCATCTGTTTTTTTTTTTCTTAAATTCCACATGAGTGAAGTAATATGATATTTGTCTTTCTCTGACTTATTTCGCTTAGTATAATACCCTCTAGGTATTACCTTTCCCATTCTATTGGTTGCCTTTTAGGTTTGTTGATTGTTTCCTTCACTGTGCAGGAGCTTTTTATCTTAATAATGTCCCAATAGTTCATTTTTGCTCTTGTTTTCCTTGCCTCCAGAGACATGTCTAGTAAGAAGTTGCTGCAGCTGAGGTCAAAGAGGTGGCTAGCTTGTTTTCTCCCCTAGGATTTTGATGGTTTCCTGGCTTACATTTAGGTCTTTCATCCATTTTGAATTTATTTTTGTGTATGGTGTAAGAAGGTGGTCCGGTTTCATTCTTCGGCATGTTGTTGTCCAGTTTTCCCTACACCATTTGTTGAAGATACGGTCTTTGTGTATGTATTTTAATTTTTTAATTTAAATTCAATTAGCCAAGGTATCGTACATCATTAGTTTTTGATATAATGTTCAATGCGTATGTTTTTTTTTTTTTTTTAGCTGTCTCAAATTCCTAAGAAGCTTGCATTTTCTTCGCAGGAGATCGCAATCTCTTATGCCCCCTGGTGCCATCTTTTGGAACTGCATAATATCTATAGCTTTGAGCCACTACAACAGAGGTCTCTGTTTTCAGCAATTTTTTTAATTTCTTTTTTTTATTAGAGTACATCATTAGTCTTTGATGTAGTGTTCCATGATTCATTATTTGCACTTCTAACCTCTGCTGTTCCCACTAGTGCTCTGAATCATGAGACAGAAACCATCCCCTCAGGCAGTCCCCAGACAATCCAGATTGATGCACAGTCTGTTCTGTTTCTATCTTGAGGAGGGAGCAGGTATGAGAGGTTTCCTCCTAATTGTGCCAGTACATCAGGCTGGGGGTGACATATGAGTGTACAAAGCTCTGCGAACTTTCCTGCAGCTTTCACTGGAATCCCTGCCTGGTTTTCCATTGGGCTAGGTACCGCTGCTTCTCAGTTGGTTTCTAGCATTCTTACAGAGGTATTTTGGTCCACAGATGGTTGTTATTTGGTTGTCTCCATGGAAGAAGGGTTGGGGACTTCTTAGTCTGTCATTTTACTGATGTCACTACTCTAAGTGATATGAAAACAATAATTTTCGCCAGTATCTGGGAGTAGGCACATGGAAGTTCTCTCACTGTCATACCATCTGCATAGGACCATTCCAGCTATAAACCCCAAAGTTTGTGACAATTAGTTACAGCAACCATAGCAAACACACTTAGCTCAGTATTTTAAACCATATGTATATATGCCTTTTATTCATTATGTAGAAATGGTATAAATTTAATACATTTCTTACTTTTTGGTTTTTAACAGGGAAATGGAACTTTTTCACAATATTTTCCCTCTAATTCATCTTCATGTACCTCCACACCCCCAACTCTAACTAGAGTCTTCTCATTAGGAGGACAAAGCCATAAACCCAAGGATTATGGGAATAAGAGATCTGAGTTCTATTATCCATTCTCTGTGTAACTTGAGGAAAACCCAATCGCTGGGTCTCAACTTTCTCATATGTTACCTGAAGGGTTGGACCATGGGGTGGACACCATATTGTTTTTAGTCTGTTGAACATTTGTGTCATTGGGTTGGTGGATTCCCTACCAAGCACTTCCTCTCCCTTATAATAATGAGTAAGTGAAAGGCATAGGAAAGGCAATTTCAAATGACTCTCTGGGATTCATTTGTGGAGGCTGGGAATAAGAAGCTCTCTCTCCGTCCTGACTGCTAAGATGAGGTAATGAATGTCAACATTTCCTGTACTTACCTCTTCCATTATATGGATGAGGCCTATATGCAGCAAATGCCAGGTAGAGATGAATAGAGATGAGAGAATTTCAAAGAATAAGAGTCTTGGTGGCCCTGAGACCTTAGTCCTAAAACTCTGTGTTGGATGCTGTGAGGAAGCTAGAATCCTCCTCAGCTACAGGATCCCATTATACTAATATTTTTCATTTTTATCCCTTGTAAGGAAAGGTTCTTCACTAATATATAGAGCATGCTGGAGAGAGCCCAGACCAACTTTACCACTTTCTCCTAGTATCTGTCCCCCTAAATTCCCTTGAGCCTCAGTTTCTTCATTCATATGATAAGGATAATCATTCTTATACTCAAATTGCTATGCCAGTAAATACAATAATATGGGAAAAGGAGATGCTTCGTGTACAGGAGATGCCCAACAAATAGTAGTATTGTAGTATCATGAATTTAATAATTTCTCAAGCTGGGTATTGCTCAGAATTCAGAAGTTATAACAAAATAGAAAAATTGAATAAGTAAGGCTTTAGGAACAGAAAAAAAATTGGAAATTGTACTTCAGTGCTCTGTGGATATGGGAACTTTATCACCTGGCATCCCTTAGGACAATGCTGACTTTAAGAAAACTGGCTTGACAAGGAGATGTTTTCTCTCCTATTATTGGAGCTCCAGAAGTGGGGTGGGAACCAGGAACAATATGGCCGTGTAATGTTGTCAACCCACATTCTCTACATCTTTGCACTTCTCTACAGCAGATTTTTCCTCAGCTTGGTTCCCCTCATGGTCATTAGATGTTTCTCTGGAGCACCTGGGGCAAACTGATTGCCTGTTCCTAGCCAGCAGGAGAGAGAATTGCATTAGTTTCCCAGATTTTTCTGCGAGTCTGTCCTTTTCACTTATGGACACAAATTGGCTTAAGTCAGTCTCCTGTCTGAGTTAACCATGAGTAGGGAGTCATGAAATGATCTGGTTTCATCTAGCTCTTGGGGGCTTGCTATTGAGTATTGGAATGTCAACCAAAATATCCCTCATCATTCAATTGACCTGAGTTTGTTTCTCCTCCTGTAAATCACTTAACTCACAGGTTGCTGAGAGATCAAATGTACAATGCATCTTCAATAATAGCCTAATCTAGTAATTCAGTGAGTAGAGGATTGGTTAACTGAAATGATAGCCCATAATAGGGGGTGGAGGAGACAAACTCACTAGTCACAAACACCTTGGTGCCCGGACCTGACTGGAACTCCGTGTTAGATTTCCCCTCCTTGAACTTCACGCAGTAGTAAGTGCCGGCGTCTGCAAGAGAGATTTCACTGATGTGGATGGAAAAGTCTGTGTTGCCAACTTTGGTGGGGTGTCCAATTTCTTTTACTCTGGGAAAGAAACCTTCTTTGAAATTGTAGATTAATTCCCGGTTTGGCCCATTTCCCTTGAACCATAAGACGGGTCCTTTTGGGAATGAATCTGGTACACTGCAACTCAAGGTGATTGTCTCTCCAACTGATACAGTCTGTGTCATCTCAGCTTGTTGCACCTGGAATATCTCATGTGTGGTTCCTGCAAAGAAATGCAAAATCATTTCCCATTTCCCATGCTCTAGCCCAGGCGGGACTGAAGAACTTGGATCCAGATCGTGGGTGGGCCTCATTCATTACTTATTTTAATGATGTGTGTGAGTCAGTGCAGTGGACAAAATGTATCACCTCTCCCATTCCCTCTGTCCCAGCCCCTAACCAGGGAAAGAAGAGGACAGGGAGGGAGAGGACTGGGATTATGCATTGATAGTGTTTATAGAGAGAGACTAGTCCCTCTCCCATCTAAATGCCAAAAATCACTCAGCTCATTTGGAGAAGGGTCCAAGTGTCCTCTGCTGACCTCATAGATATAGGGAGTTTGGGATTGACCTTCTTCTCTTCTGAAGGGTAAGCAGCTAACTGAATTTGTGGAGATATTAGTGTTGAGAGGTGTGGAGAAAGGGCAAGTCAAGAGATAGCAAACCTAGAGAATGGGGAGCCATTTAGTACTACTGTGTTCATGCAGGCAGAGTGCGGCTCCTCTGCTTATCTGTCGGGCAGGGGGTTGGAGAAAGAGACAGTTTCCTCTTCTAAATAAAAGAGAATAGAACCTCAAGGGACCTTATCAATTTTGGAGGGCCCACAAACTGATCTCCAACACCCACTACCGCCAACATCACTACCCCATATTAGTCAGGTCCTGGTAATCTCTCTCCTTTTCAGGCAAACCATCAAAAGCAAAGATGGGCTAAGGTGTGGGTTAGAGAAACAAGAAAATCTTGGCTGGTGAGGCTGGGAGAAAATGGAGGGTAAGCTGCCTATGCTCACAGTTTTTATCTTGAGGGATCTTATGTAAATTTTCCGTGGCCCATTGGGTATGATGGAATGTGGCTGGACTTGAAGAGAACATCACAGAGGAAGACTAGTTTTCCCAGAAGAACAGATAGACACACTAATCTCACATATTGAATGTCATTAATCCACAGAGTGGCAAGAAGTAGCAAACAGTGGTTGTCCTCAGAGAAGAGAACAACAGAGCTGGGGTTAGACTAGGGCAGGGCAGGTCAGGGAAAGATCAAGAGCCAGGAGAGTGACTGAACTCCTCCAGGACAGCTTTTCCAAACAAGATGTGGGGGTGGGTGATATCAATCCCCATCCTTCTGATGTCCTGGCTCCCTAGAATCCATAGTAGGAGACCACACTCACTCATTGATTTCCTGTGGGGAATGGGGTCCCTGAGTGCCCTGTGGTGGCCCTTCAGGGACCTGCCACCAGGCCTCAATCACATTCTAGTTAGAAATGGCTGAGTGGATTTGGGCAGGTTTGTAGAGATTCTGCTTACCTGTGGATCCCCACTTTGGCTCAGGAAGTATTGGGCTTAGGGGGCAAACTCTAACCTGTGTTACAATTTAGTCCTGAACCTATAAGATAAGATGTGGCTACAAGGGTCAGTGAATAGAAATTGGGTCTCAGAACATAGGTTAGAAGATACTCAATGGAGAACTCTTATTCCAGAATTGTCCGTCAGACCTTAGAAAAGCCAGCAGGCCACATAGGTCTCAGTATTCTCACTTTTTGGATCATAAAGTGCACACTTGTAGTTGTATTATATCTACTTGGTGCCTTTTTATGTGAGAGTTTCCCTTGCCATATGTCATCCCTGGCTTGGTGGAGTTGGCCGTCAGGGCAGGGCATGGCCTGTCAACATGGCTTACTTAGTTCAGTAGTAGGCATGGGACCACAGAATGGCTAATTAATAGGGCCATCTGCAGAACCTAACTTATAGGGTGGTTTGTGATTGAAGGGGCACAGAATCTAGTGTGTAGTGATGATTTGGTACGTTTCAGATTTTAAAAAATTTATTTTTACAGACCAAGGGGATGGAGTTTGTCAGGCTGTACTCACCATTCACAGATACAACGGTGCCTGAACCAGATACATACGACATGTCAGGGTGCGCTATGGTTAGTTTCACACAGTAATAGGTGCCCACATCTTTGGGCGACACGTTACTGATGCGGATGGAATAGTCTGTCTGGTTGAATTCTGTGTTTTCCACTTGGGTTACTCGGGGGAATTGGCCCCCTTTGAAATTGTAAATTAACTTTCGTTCTTGCCCATTCTCCCTGAACCACAAGACAGGCCCTGCTGGGGAACGAGCAGACACGTTGCAGCCCAGTGTCAAGATCTCTCCAGCTCTGACTGAAACTGAACTCTCAGGCTGGGTCACCTGGAATTCTTGATCCGAAGTTCCTGGAAAGAAAATTGGCTTCATTTCTCATGTTCTTTGTCTTGGCCCAGGATGTTTTGAGAGTCTGGTTCTAGGTCAAAGTGGGGACTCGTTACACACTCTTTTAGCAACACATACTGGTGCGAAGGTATGAAAATTACAAACTGTGTTGTCACAGGGGGTGAGGGGAAGGGGACTCCATGGCCTGGAGCATAGTAGATACTGTATAAACAGGGGAACTTGCTGCATAACAAATTACTGCAAACTTAATAGTTTAAGAAAACACATATTATTTCATAGTTCCTGTGGACCAGGAGTTCAGGCACAGCTCAGCTTAGATGTCATACACAGAGGGAAGATGATGTGAAGACACAGGGGGAATGCTGTGTACAATCCGAGGATGGTCTGAGGCTACCAGAAGCTAGGAGAGAGGCCTGGAACAGATTTCTCCTCATAGTTTATACCAGCTTCAGTTATAATTGCCAAGCTTGAAAGCAACCAAGATGACCTTCAGTAGGTGAATGGATATAGAAATTGTGGTACATTCAGACAGTGGAGTATTATTCAGTGCTAAAAGAAATGAGCTAGTAAGCCCTGAAAAGATATGGAAGAACCTTAGTCTAAACGAGACACCTGCATACTGCAGAATATCATATTCCCAGAATATGATATTCTGGGAAAGGCAAAACTACGGATACCGGGAATATATCAGCTATTGCCAGTGTTAGGTGGAAATAGATAAATAAGCAGAATACAGAGGATTTTTAGGGCACTGAAGCTACTCTGTATAATGCTATAAAAGTGGATATCACTATACATTTGTCCAACCCCATAGACTATACAATACCAAGGGTAAAACAGAACGTGAATTATGGACTTTGGGTGTTAATGACATACTAGTGTAGGTTCATCATTTGTAATAAATGTACCACTCTGGTGGAGGATATTGGTAAGGGGAGAGACTGATGTGTAGGGACAGGGAGTGGTATGGGAAATCTCTGCACCTTCTGCTCCATTCTGGTGTGAACCTAAAACAGTTTTAAAATATGAAGTCTATTTATAAAAAAGTCATTTCCATATCAAAGGTCATCTAGATTTTCTTCTATGATATTTTGAAGGAATTTTATAGTTTTGTGTTTTACATTTGAGTTATTTTTATGAAAGTTGTTAGGTCTGTGTCTAGAATCAATTTTTTTTTTTTTTTGCACATGGATGTCAGGATGTCCAATTCCTCCAGCAACTCTGTTGAAAAGACTCTGTTGCTCCTATCCCAAAGATCAGTTGGCTATATTTATGTGTGTGTATTTCTGGACTTTCTATTCTGTTGCATTGATCTGTGTGTCTATTCTTTCATCAATGCCGCTGTTTCAATTACTGTAGCTTTCTAGTAAGTCTTGTTCTCTGACTTTGTTCTTCTCCAACATTGAGTTGGCTATTCTGGATCTTTAAATTTTCCATATGAACTTTAGAATCAGTTTGTCAATATCCATCAAATACTTCGTTCTTACATTTATTGGGATTGCATTTAATCCTTAGATGAAGTTGGGCAGAATGGGTATCCTGACAATATTGAGTCCTCCCATCCATGAACATGGGATGTATCTTTATTTGTTTAGTTCTTCTTTGGTTTAAAACTGATTGCTTTAATCAGTTTTATAGCTTTCTTTATATAGATCTTATACATATAATAGGAGATTTATACCTATTTTTCTTTTTTGAGGGGTGATAATGTACTTGGTCACATGTGTTTTTAGTATATAGAAACATAACTGATTTTTTAAAAGAAAAGTGTGGAATTTAATCTTTATTTACAGGACACTGCAAGATAGGAGATTCCACATATAAATAAGAAACCCACTGAGAGGAGGAGCTTCATACAGTTTGTACAGTTTGGAACTGGTCAAGTAGAGTTTTGTTGTAAAAAGTGCTACAATAAAAAAAAAACACATTTAAAAAGAGTTCTTAGTAGAGAAACAGTAAGACAAACTTCTACCAGAGTACACAACAAACAACTTTCTGCCTAAGCTGTATAATCTAAAAGTTAAAGGAGTGCCATCCTGAACCTGGAACGTATAGCCTTCAGAGGTAGTTTCTGGACAACATTTTGATCTTCCTCTTCCTCTACAGAGAAATACTTCTCAATCAAGTTTAATGAAGCTTTGTATACAGACTCATTTTCATGGTTTTGGAGAGCCTCAATTTTGTCCAAACCTTCACATTCTTCAATCATTATACCAAGTTTCTCAGTTCCACCTAGTTTCTCAGCAGCCTAAATGATGTTTGAAACAGCATCCAGAATAACCAGAATAATTTCGGTATCCTTTGCAGTTAAGAGGTTCATCAATGGTTCTATTATGCCACAATGAACGAGGTATACAATCTGTTCAACTGTCCCACCACTTGTATAGTTGGTCACAGCCCAGACAGCTTCCTTTTGTGTCTTAAAGTCTGCCTTAGAGAGAACACCAATGAAGAATGGGACTAACCCATGATTCACAACTTGCTGTATCTGGTCGTGGTGGCCAGCTGTGATGTTTGATGTTGTCCACATGGCTTCCTTCTGAATATTAGTTTTGGGATTCATTAGCAGGCTGGGAAAGATAGCAAGTGCTCCTGCATCTATTCAACCTGAGTCTGTTCATCTGTCCCAGTGACAATATTTCCTATGGCTCTTAGTGCAGAAGTCACAATGGGCAATTCAGTAGCTCCTAGAAGCTTCACAAGCTGGGGCACAATTCCTGTTTTCACAACCATTTCAGTCCATTCATTTGGACCATCAGTAAGGTAGGAAATGGCCCAGGTATCTGGCAAGACTTCTGGATCATCGTGATGCAGGAGAATTAGGAAGGTAGGAAGGTAGAAAGTATCTGCTAAGGTAGATAGGTAAAGAACTAAGGTAGGAAGAATCTGCTCGACAGCATCTAACGGGGGTGCAGGATTCTTGTTGTGACAAAGGTTTGAAAGTGTCCAAGTAAGGTTACGTAAGTAGCCACATGCTAACGAAGACATATCAGGAACCACAAGGAGAGCCAAAAGCGGATCAGCTGCACTGTACTTGATAACCAAGTCTCGAAAAACTGAACCGTCACCTTCAATGTTTCCTAGAGCCCCTACAGCTTGTTCACTGATGTGGGCATGGGAAGATGCCAACAGAGAAATGAATGCTGGCCTAGCACCTCCATCTACCACAGCCTTGGTCTGTTCTGATGTCCCAGAAGCAACGTTAGTGAGAGCCCAAGCAGATTCAAACTGAATGGGACTACAGTCTGTTCTGCCCAAGAAGGACACAAATTTTGGAATCAAACCAGTCCAGATTATGTTGTCTATGGGGGTGCTGCTTTTCCTGAGAAGGCAGTTTCCTAGCAGTTTGAGTAGCCTGGAGCTGGCTTTCCAAATGGTTGCTATTTATGCCTTTGACAATGTCATCAACAGACCAATTTACAGCGCCCTGGTTGTTGGGGATTTCCTTCAGTGGAGAGGTAGAATCATCGGGAAATGAGCTTATGTTTCTCCTTTTCAGCATCTGGTCATCCTTCTTAACTTTCCTCAGCTCCACATTAACTTCTATTTGACGCCACCTCATTTCTGTACTGTCTTTCCCCTTGTTCTTGAATCTGTTAAGGCGGGCAGTTGGTGAATTAGCATTCTCGTTGGTGGACATGGTTATGAGACAAAGGGAGAAAGCTACACGGCTGGCTCAGGCTTCTAGGGGAGGCAGTCTGGGATATGCAGGCTGCGGGTCAGCTGCCCTCAAAACATCCACCATGGATCACCCATAATTGATTTTTTAATGTTGATTTTGTATCTTTGCTGAACATGCTTATTAACCCAGAGGGTTTTTTTTTTTTAAAGTAGATTCTTTGGGATTTTCTATGTAGACAATCACATCTGCAAATAAGGGAAGTTCTTTTTCTTCCTTTTAAACTTCCTTTCCTTTCCTTTCCTTCCCTTCCCTTCCCTTCCCTTTCTCCTTCTGTCCCTTCCATTCCATTCCTTTCTTCCTGTCCCTCTCTCTCCTACAATTTCTAGTACTATGTTGAATAAGAGTTGTGAGTAGGGACATCCTGCCTCAGTCCTTACCTTACGAAAAAAAAATCAGTCTTTCACCACTAAGTATAATGATAGCTACAGGGTTTTTTGTAAATATTCTTCATCAAATTGAAGAAGTTGCCTCCTATTTCTAGTTTGCTGTGAGTTTGCATCATGAACGGATGTTAGATTTGTCAAATGACTTTTCTGCATCACTTGATATGCTCATGCAATTTTTCTTCTTTAATTTGTTGATGTGATGGATTACAGTGATTGTTTTTCAAATGTTGAAACAGCTTTGCATGCCTGGAATAAACCCTTCTTAGTCATGGTATGTAACTTTACATGTTTGAAATTCTATTTGCCAAATTTTGCTTAGGATTCTTGCATTTAGATTCACGAGACATATTGGTCTGTAGTTTTTTTTTTTTAATGTACAATCTGGTTTTGTTATCAAGGTAATAATGGCCTCATCAAATGAGCAGGGAAGCGTTTCTTCTACTTCTATTTTCTGGAAAAGATTTTTATGAGCTTGGTATTCCCATTAAAATGTCTTTGCTAACATTCTCTAGTGGGTGTGTTACTCATATATTTTACCTTTTCCTAAAACATCCAAGCTTTCTTCCTCCTTGCTTATACTCAGATAAAGGTCTTGGGTTCCTCTTTCATCTGATCTAAATCCCTTGAGCCGTCTTCTGTGACAATTGGGACTCAAAGCCTCTGCCAACATGGACCAATGGCCTTGGGAAAGACACTCCACATGCTTCTTTAGCTTTTTCAGCAAGCAAAGGCAGAACTGCCTAGTTCTCTTAGAGACCCTGCAGGGTTCAGCTTCCCTCACTGACCCAGAGAGATCTCTAGTGACCACTTCTAGTCAATATTCCATGAGCATGCAAACCTCTGCAAATTTTTAACAGTGATTATCTTAGGATGAAAACATTGTGAATTGTTTTCTTGCTTTAAAATTTCATGTTCTCCAACATGATTTTCTTCATTGAGAAGTTGTATCTTTGTGGTGGCAATATTGGAATGACAGGTTCTTTGTTCCTAAGGGATGGGGGAGGAGCGCTCTAATGTGTGCTGTGCTCAGCCCTGTGACTATTAGCATGTGCCCATTCTCCGAACAAAAGGGTGTGGAACAGACTTGGCCACTAGGAGATTTTGGGAACTGGGAACCATTCCAATCTAGTTCTATAAATTCTGGATGGGATAGAGAAAACCCTCCCCCAGGAAATTCTAGGTAAACGAGTAAGGTCAACACAGTAAACTAGCATAGGGGAGTCCTCGTCACACATCCTTGAGCCCCAGCTCACCTGTGAATTTCAGTAGCAGAGTCAGCAGCAGGGATGGCAGTGGTGGGCAGGATCGGGAGGCAGGGACAGGCATCATGGTGGCCCTGGAGCCTTCTCTGTCCGAATGTTGTCCTGGAGAGGCCCAGGACACTTTGCTCTGAGGAGAGAAGACACTCCCTGCCTCCATGATGCCAGAGGAAGGGGATGATGATGAGAGGAAAGACCATGGGATTTTAACAGTTTTTCTTTGAGATTATCAAATAGACAGGCAAGGTGAACACAAGCTGAGAAGTTGCTGCTAGAAATGATTGGTTTTCCAGAGTTAAGGGCATGTCATAGACTTGTGCTCATTCCTGAGCCTCGTCCCAACTGCGGTCTCACCAGGCTGCACCCCTGCTGATGTAGAAGCCCAGATACATGGTGTGGGAAAGAGGTTAGAATTTTGGAGGTGGTGATGATTTGTGTCTTAAAGACTTTTTTTTTATTTATTTGACAGACAGATCACAAGTAGGCAGAGAGGCAGGCAGAGAGAGAGAGGATGAGGAGGCAGGCTCCCTGCTGAGCAGAGAGCCCGATGCAGGACTCGATCCCAGGACCCTGAGATCATGACCTGAGCCAAAGGCAGAGGCTTTAACCACTGAGCCACCCAGGCGCCCCTGATTTGTGTCTTAGAGGATGGAAGGGGCCACAGGGAAGGTAGGGCTGGGAGAACACACTGCAAGAAGGAAAGTAACACACCTAGAAACACACCTGGAAGGTTAGGGCTGCCTCTGTTGTCTGTGCTGGGTCTGGGGCCAGCTCTGGGGGAAAAGAGTAGAGGGAAGAAGAAATACTCTTAGAAAGAGAAAGGAACCAGTATATTGGCTTCGTTCTTTCTCACCTCTGCAATGGGCTCTACCCAAGCACAAAGGCTGTGTTGGAACTCTCAGTCTATACTCAGCTGGTGACACTTCAGTGTCTCCGAGTCCATAGTCAGGCACTGACTATTAGGGTGATTTTCCTATTGCTTCCTTGTGAGCTGTGCCTCCTCAGGGATCAATAGGATGTTAAGGCCAGGAGAGGTGTTAGAACAAGAGGAGAGTCCACAGCAGGCCCAAACTGCATATAGGAGATGAGAAGACTCCTTTCCCCTTGTGATGTCACCATCCTATCACATTGTTCTGGAATGATGAATTCCATGCAGGGGTGCCATCCATGGCCTCTGGTGAGGGCTATACAGGAACTTTCCTCCAGGTCCAGTATCCTATACTTCTTCTCACCTTCAGCAGACTTCACATCTCCCATCAGACGCTAAACTCTACAGAGCCCGATATTTCTAGTGCCGTGATGGTCAAGAACATTGGCTTTGCAACCAGATGTAGTTTAGGTTCTAATCCTGAATCCACTTCTTGGTGGCTAACCTACATATCCTTTGACCATGAAATTTTCATTTGTATAGCTGAAATACTCACAATGTATTTGAATATGAAATTTGAAATTTGAATATGAAAATACTTCATAGTCGGCCCTCGGACATTTTCTTTTCCCCTTCAGCATGTGGCACATCCTCTACCCATTTGGCCAAACCAAGAAGGACCCATGTTCTACATCCTCACTTGTCCACTGGTGTCTACACATTCCCAGACCCTGTTAGTTTTACCTCCCAAACACATCTTGAATCTATTTCTCCATCTCCATTGTCATCTCTGTGTGAATGAAAACTATTACTTCCCAATATGCTATCTCCAAATCTTCTGCCCACTGTTAAGCTCTACCTTCTACTTTATCTAGGGTCTTCTACAACACAGATCTGAGTAAACTCCTTTTTTGTGTAAATCATTTTGTAGATTCTCATTGCCCTTGTTTATTAAGACTGCTGTATGGTGTTTGGTCTATGGCATATACTATGTGGTATATCTTACGTTGTATGTGGTATATGATGTATGGTGTATGGTATGTGGTATTTGGCAATGGCATATTGTATATGCCATGTGGTATATTATATGTGGTATACAGTATATTGTATATGGCATATGGTGTGGTACATGGTATGTGGTCTATGGTATATTATGTGGGCATACATGTCTGGTATGTGGTATATAATATATGGTAAGTATAGTGTAAACAATCCATCCTTCCTTGACTTGCTTGGCCCTTAGAGACAAAAGAATCCCCACATTTTCTGGTCCCCCCACAGCCTCTCCCCTTCACATTGAGTTCTCTGGGAAACAGGTGCTGAGATGAATATTAAGCAGATCATTTCCAGGGAGTGCTTTAGGATCCAATGGTGGCTAGGAGAAGGGAGCAGAATTGTATAGAAGAAGTTGAGTTGCAGTGAGGTCCCAAAGAAGACCTCAGCTGATCTCCTGGGGAGCTCGGGTGCTAGGATGTTCCTTCAGAGTTCTCCTGAGCTAGATTGAGAGGTTGGACCTTTACATCCCTGTTGATGAGCCACCGGATGTGGCAAGGTCCCACGCTTGATCTCAGGCATGGTGGCTTTCTTCTGCTGAGGCCATCTCAAAGAGGGCTGACAGCTGAGGGCCATATCCTCAGGCCTGGTGTATCACAGCACCCACCACCCTCCGCAGAGCCCCTTCCACATCAATTCCTCAGGCTCAGGACATGGATTAACTGCATCCCCCACTGAGGTCTTAAAGCTACCCTACCTCACCCAAGCTCTCAGAGTTCCCTGACCCCACTTTGTCTAACCTGGGTTTTACTAATTGGAAACACTTAGGGTGAATATCTTGGAGGACTGAGAAGCAGGTTCTTTTGAGATCTCTGAGGGCCAGGCTTTGGAGTGAGCTCTAGCAGAAGACAGAGGGTAGAGAAAGGAAGAGGAACCTTAGACCTGTGAAGTAAGATAAAATCTGGTTATAGAAAGACAGAAGTCTCCCCATGCCATAATTCCTCACCTTGTCCCCCAACAAGGTGCAAGAGGCAGAGATCCAGCTGAGGACATGATGTTGACATATTCAATAGACTTAATTTTTGAAATAGCTTTACATTTAGAGTAAAATTGTGACAATAGTACAGAGTTCCAATATACAGCTGCACACGGCTTCCCCTCTTATTAGTATCTGACAGTAGCATGGTTTATCTGTGATAATGAACCATTATTATTAACCAAAGTCCATAGTATATTTAGATTTTTGTCTTATCTTGGGTCCTTATAACAAAACAGCATAAACTGGATGCCTTGAAACAACAGGAACTTATTTCTCACAGTCGTAGAGGCTGGAAGTCTGAGATCAGGGTGCCATGATAATTGGATTGTCATGAGAAGTCTCTTTGTGGTTGTGGACTGCAGACAACTTGCATTCTCATGTGTAGGTGGGGTGATCTGGCTGTCTGGCCCCTTTTCATGAGGGCATTGATCCCATTCATGAGGACTCCACCCTCAAGACCTCATTACTTGTCAACGTTCCCACCTCCAAATCCCATCACAATGGGAATCAGATTTCAACACATGAACTTTGGAGAAACAGAAACATTCACTCCAAAAGAGATTTTCTTGGTTTTTACACTTTCTGTTCCAGAATTCGATGCAGGATACCACATTACATTTATTTGTCATGTCTCGTTAGGCTTTTCTCATCTGTTACAACTTCTTCAACTTTCCTTGATGGTGATGGCCTGACAGTTTTGAGGAGTGTTGCTCAGGTATATGGTGGAATGTGGGAATGGTGGGCTTGGGGAGGAAGGTCACAGAAGAAAAGTGCCACTCTTATCACATTATACCATGGAGCACAAACCATGGTGAACTCATGGTGAACTCATGATCACCCGGCTGAACTGTATTTGTCAGATGTCCCCTCTGTAGTTACTCCTTTTTCCTCCTTTCCATTCTGTCCTCTTTGGAAGGGAGTCACAACAAGCAGCTTGTCCTTCATGAGTGGGCAGTTAGGGTCCCCCTCCTGAAGGTGAAGTATCTAGTTGAATCATTTGGGACTTTATGCACAGGCTTTTTTTCTTCTCCTCAATTTATTAATTTATTCAATTACTTATATATAAAACAATATGGGCTCAAAGATTTATTTATATATGGGGTTATAATCAGTTTTAGTAATTCAGGCAGCTATAACAAAACATCCCAGACTAGTGGCTAGTAAACAAAAGAAAGCTCTTGCTCATAGTTGAAGAGGCTGGAGTCTGAGATCATGGAGCCAGCGTGGTTGGGAGAAGGCCCTCACAGATTTCTCCCTGTGTCTCCACATGGCCGAAGTGACTGGGGAGCCCTGGGTTGGGGGGAATCTTCTGTAAGGGCCAATCCCACTCATGAGGATGAAGCACTCATGACCTGCTCATCTTCCAGAGGCTTCCCCTGCCAACACCCATCGCATGGGCTTGAGGATTCCAACACTCAAATTTTGCAGTGACTCGAACATTCAGACCAGAACAGAATCAGATGTACTACTTTACTTATTTGTTGCTCAAACTGTTACACTTTGACCATTGGGAGTTCTTCCAGAAGGTTCCTGTACCTGTTTGACAGACTCCAATCAGTGGGTTATTCGTTTGTTTTTTGCAAATCACTTGCTCACTTTCTGAAGGATATGAAGTTCTGATAGAACTTTTAAACACAAAGAGGAGAGAGTAGTATTTAGTGAAATGGTTTTAGGTACATGTACCAGTGCTGAATGAAGTGAAATGGTATTTTAAAATACAAAATCTGACAGAAACTAGTGTTTTCAATGATGTATTCCCCAATTTATGTTTTAAAAATGCAGGGGCCTAACACATGGCTGTCATTCTGACAACTGAGGATGCAGACAGTCCCTTCTCTGTCAGAGTCCACATCCTATTTGAGGATGAGACAAACACTCACAGGAGGTTCTCAGTTTGCGTGGTGCTGACATGCACGAATGTCAGTTGCCACGGGTCTGTTAAATACCATCAGTCCCCCAAAACATGGTTTCAGTTTCATTTGCCATGGAGGAATTTTCCATGAGCAATTGCTTGAGGTATCAACTTTGCCGCCAGCTCTTCCTCAGGCCACAAATATCTATGTAACTAACAGGTGCTCATCATTGTAAGTAAGAATCATGTCTTTCAAGGCTGGTAGTGGTGGTTCTCTTTGATTCTGTTACTCACTTTACCACAGATAACAATGCAGGTGGTTGTGTTGTCTCCT